TCCCAGCCCCCTGGAAAACCCAGGGTTGCCTGCTGAGTGGAGCTAGCAGCGTTCTCTCCCTGTTTCTCCATGTGACTTTTAGGAAGAAAATCCTACTGTGAGCCATCAGATGCACTGCCACTGTTATAGCAAAGGAGAAAAAGTATCACTGCTCATGGCAACTCCATCAATGTGGGCGACACTTCTCTCTTGAATGGAGTCAAACTCCTTTCTCTCTCTCTCTGAAGGGTGAGGGAAGGAATTTGGGAAGTAATGAAAATTGCAATAGGTAGGTCAGAAGAAAAACCACGTGGGCCACCACCTTAGAGCCATCGAATTTGTGCATGGTCTCATGCAGGTCACTCTGCCCTGCTGCATCTATTTCCCAGAATGATTTTCCACTTACCCTCATTTGTTTTAAAGGACTCATGCTGATTGAATTTAAAAAAGGAAAACCCTTGGAGTACAAGCTTAAGACTCAGATAAAAAAGCCAGTCATTCATTCATATATTAAATAACTATTATGACCTTCTCTTATATACCAGAAATTGTCCCAGGCATTGCCTCAGACTTAATGAGTTGGTTGTTTCTTATTCTAAAAAGAATTCTGTGAAGGTTTAATAATTCAGTACAATAGATATCAGTGTTGAGAAAAACAAAGTGACACCAGGCAAGCACACATGCACACACACATACTCGTACACACACACACACACACACACACACACACACACACACCAGAACTAAGTTTTAGTTACTTACTAGAGATGGACCACTAATTCACCTCTGAGTTTCCTAGCAGACAATGCAAAGAGAGAAACATGATCTATTTCATAATTTGTAAAATACTAATAGCATCAAAGCTATTTCTGATGCTGAGATCTGAATATTTAATGTCAACTTGACATACTTAATACTTAAACTACAGAAACTTAATTCAACAAACATTTGATCACACCTACTCTGTACCAGGCCCTGTGCCAGGTATTAAAATGAGCAAGATGAGTAATAGCTAGTGTGTGTTCCTCAAATCTTTCCTCAGCACAAACTGCAAATCAGGCATCCCAGGCTGTCAATGTGGATCCCTCCCGGCTCCTGAGTATGCCCCATAGCCCTCCAGGAACAGATGATGGAATAAACTACTAGGAGTGTTCTTAGTATAGGAGAAGTTCTAGCGGTGAATTGAAGCTAGTGATACTGAGATGAGGAGATAGGAACAAGAAACAAAGGTTTCTCTGAGGCATAAAGATACCCTCCAACTGCCCCTGAGCATATACCTGGAACAAAGTCCATGCACTTGTAACTGTTTTTCAAGGATTTGTTATCAAAAACTGATTTGTCAGCTTTACGACCATATCATTGAGTCGTGTAAACCATCAGACCCTCACAGCAGGAGAAGGCCCTTCTGTCCTGCCTGAAGTGTTAGATCCCAGGCCAAATGGGTTCATCGCATCTAGCAGATTGGAAAACAGAAGCTGACTGCGAAAGGATGCTGCCCCAGAAGTGTAGCCGACCCTCAGAGAGACTATTTCCCTGGTCCTCATTTTCCACACGAGAAATCTCATCAAGGTCCATTAATGAAAGTGAGTCATGAGTAATCAAGTGACTAACTCAAGGCTATTCAGGACAGAACGGACCACAGCAATACTTCCTACATCCATGAACCTTATTGGGGATTTCAAATACTGACCCCACCTTGGATCTGTGGCTTCTTGATCATGGTTCATTTGCGTCTGCATCCTCGGCAACCACCACATGCCATCAACAGGAACCACGGCGTGCAGCTTCACATCAGGGTCTTACACCCAGGGCAGCCGGCCTCATTGGACAAAGACTTGGAGAACTCAGCACACTGGAGAAAAAGCAGGGGTGCCTGGGTCCTAGTCTGAGCCTTGTGATTCTGAATGGCGGGTGGGTCTCATAGTCAGTGACTGAAGACTATGGTTTCGCTTTTCACAGGACCAGAACCTGGTCTTCTGCTGCATGCTGGAGCCTCAAGTCACAACAGAGCTCTGAATTCATTGTTCTTGGAACCTGAGTCCCATGGGGCTGCCCTCATGAAGCCTTTCACAGTGTGAGTCCTAGGCTATTCAAAATAGCAGCAGGCGCCCTTCCCCTTGCCGACGTTAAAACACTGCCATCTAGTGGTAGCTATGGCTCTTCTAGACAAATAGCAGAGACAGCTGTCCTGGGCCTACCCGAGAGACACTTGATAGGGTGCTAGACCTTCAAGTCTTTTTAGAGCTTGGATGGCTATTGCTCGCAAAGTATCCTGTGATTTCTCCTCCTGGGGTGCCTACAATTTCATAATTGTGTTTGGACAGAGTCCAAAGTGGGAAGGAACCCAGACACAGAGGATTAGAATGGCAGTCTTGCAGGCTACAGAACCCACATGCGACCCCCTAGCTCAGCCACGTGTCAGGTGCCAGACTTTGGATATATCATTTCACATCCCGTGATAGCAGTTACTCATCTGAAGGTTGAGGGAATAGTTTGATCTTTTAAATGGCCAGGAAATCCTTATATTAATGAAATCACTAGTGTGTCAATTTTCTGTAAACAAAGTTGTGGAAACAAATATAAACATGTATTTACCTCTGGTATATAGATTTTCACACATGACAAATGTACAATGGGCTAAGTATCTAGGGAGCTAAACCTGTGAGCTGGATTCCCATGATCATTAAGATGACAAAATGCCCTTGGAAATGGGTAGCTCTTTGATGCAATGAGTAAAATTCACATCCCACTGAGAAGAGGCACACTGAACTGACTGAAAAGCTACCAAAGCAGAGAAAACCTGAGAGGAGATCATTTGAATCTCTTTAGCCAAGTTATCAAATATCATTGGGAGAAGTCTGTGGGAGGATTTGAAGTCTGTAGGTTCTAACCACCAAAGTATATGCTCTATTCTGGAAGCCCAGAAGGAAAGCAAGCCAGGGAGTTGCAAAGAAAGCCACCTCAGGAGCTTCTAGTTAAGAAGTGTCCCCTGCAGGCCCTTTTTGGGGCTAGACTGCTTGCTGCTGTGGGACCCCCAAAAGAATCATGCAGATTTGAAACCCATACAGACATTGTGCAGTCATTGTGCAGCTTGTTTTAACATATAAGTTAATGTTATGGCAAAGACCAGGCGAGCTAGTGGCAAGCATAATTTTCTAACTTTTATCGACTACACTGGCTCTAAAGAGCTAAGAATCTGGTGAGGGAGACTCAAAGGGAGCCTTGAAAGTTCATTAGTCTTCCTTTTAGAGCATTAGCAGGTCTTCATTAACTGCAGCACGTGGAGACTCATCTAAAATTCTAGTTCCAAAATGAGTCCCAGAACAAAGATCCTGACTCCTGAGCATCAGTTGGGTCGCAGAAATTCCCACTTCTGTCTTGTTTTTCCAAGTGATTCTACCTCAGGTGATCCAGACAGCACTTTGAGAAATCTTGGTCAAGAAATCAGTCATCTGGGTTTAGTTGTCCAGCCACTTCTCATCCAGATGGGTGAGATAACAGATCTGGGGAGGGAAGGCTGAAATATGCAGTGAGAAGCAAATTACCCTAAATATGTAGACTGGAATGAAATCCCATTCAACAAAATAGCCAGAAGTCTTGACAACAGACAATAAGTGGAACTCAGAACCTAAAGATGTTACCCAGCAGGTAAGAGGACATAGCCAAGATGTACATTCAAAGTACTGCATGATTGTAAATTTTCTCTGATTCACTCTAAAGAGCAAGAGATGTCCATTGTCTTTATCCCATCATAAGATAGAAAGAGTTTACCTTCTCCTTACTACTTCTGCCATGCTGTCGCTCCGGGAATTTTCCAGCAGTTTTCAGGTTACCTCAAACATCAGGGTCATTACTAATGCTTTATCCTCAACTGGACTCTCCCCCCAGCACACACACACCTTCTGCTCCTAAGGACTGCATAAGTAAGATTCAACTCAAGTGTCTCTTTTATTGTAAGACTTCAAATCATGACTATTGTTGAGGATTGTAAGCATTTTTAAACAATAACTCATTACCAGTCATAAGCTAAGCATGTTGCAAAGATAATTTATAAACTACATCTAAGAATAATGAACTATAACAGGGTCCAGCACATTATCCAGTCACTGGGGTTCACCAGACCTGGTCACCTGCTCTGGTCAACAAAGGCAAGTTCATTGATATATGCAGCCAAGTATAAACACTTATATATTGTCTGTTATAGTAGCAAAGCTGAGAAATGCATACACTGAATAGTAGCTGACTCTTCAGAAGATACATTTGCTGACTGTGGTCTAGAACGATGAGTAATCTGCCTACGGTGCTGTTCGAAACCAATCTCTCTACATGCCGTATTAATGAACAATCCCATTTCTATTCCTTCCTCCATTTGCATCGTGTCTGCATCTCACGTAAGACTTTGTCATTATATTCATCTAGAAGTTTATGATTTATTTAGCCAACTTTTATGGAGTTCATGCCAGTAAGACAAAGTCCATGCCTTTGTATATAGAACAGCTAAAGTAATAGCCTTGATAGCGTTCAGATTAGCAGCCATCAGTAAAACAGCTTTGGAGTACAAAACCACACCATGGGAACGTGTTAACTATTCATGAGGTATGGACCCTTGTCCCAGTGTACAAAGCACACCAGAAAGTGCATAAAAAATACAGATGGGCATTCTAGTCATCCAGCATGTACCTTTGGAAATCACAGAGCCAAAAGATGTACGGAAAAAATGTGTGAAGCAGTAAGAAGGGTAAACATGGCACCTCTGAAGCTTAGAAAGCAAGTTGGTCATGGGAGCAGAAACGTGGGCCAAATTCAGGAAGGGATCTCAGAGGCAGAGAATGGAAGGAAGAATGGAGAGTTGACCTGAGTCTTGGACGATGAGGATGAGATCATCAGGTAGTGACGAGAAGCACCTACTACCCAGAGGGGAGAATGTGCCCAGAGGTTAGGGTGCTGTGTTCAGATAGCAGATGTGTAGTGCCTATAAAAAGGTGGTAAAGAAGAAGCAGGACAACATGGTAAAGCTGGACCAGGAAGGCAAGAAGAGATATTAAGAGGATTAGAATTTTAGGTTTATGTAATAAAATGATCACTCATTTATTAGATTCTATTTTATGAATTTATTTATCAATTTTTATTCACATCTCAGTTATATGATCAAATCTATCCCTTTTCTGAGAACTCCACGAAAGCAATGGCAGTCATGTTCACCTTGCTCAGCTTCCCTTCTGCGCTCACTATTGAACTGGCAGTGAGAAGCTAATGCCTATTTGTTGAATTATACTGAGTTGACATGTTCTTCCCTTTGCAAGGATGATATTTCCCAGGATTAGATCTCTGCTGCCTCTGGAAACTCATCGCAGCCCCAGGTCTATGTCTGAGATGGGGAGATACAGGGATTTGAGTAGGCATGATTCCTCAGAAGAGGAGCACAGGTGCATGGAAGACCAGCACCTGGGTTGACGTGGCACTTGGAGAAACTGCTGAGGTCACATGTCAGACCAGTCTGGCTGAGTCTATGTCTTCAGGCTGTGCCCTGCTGAATCAGTGAGTGCCAGGCCTGCCCTGAGCAGTGTTGAGAGGCTAATGACTGTTCCATGGTGAACAAGGGATCTGGCACAGGTCCCCAAACTGACAGTGAGTGCTTCCTACGAGGAGGTCAGAAGGGAGCCCCCAGCAGTCCTGAGTTCTCAAAAGCGCAAATTTAGCACATGACTCTTCTCTCTTTCTATTCCCTCTGCATCTTTCTGGCTGAATACAAAGAGTTACAGAAAGTGGCCTTTTCCAGAAAAGAAATTCCTACCCATGTGGCTTGTGTTTCACCAGGCAGAACCTAAGGAAGACAATGGATAGGATACAGGGATCATAGATCTTAGGGCTGGGAAAGGGAGGTAAAGTTACCAGCACTTTCAGGGGAGCAGGGATGGAGGGAGGGAGGAAGGGAGGGAGGAAGTCAGTCAAAATTCAACATAACAACAGATGTTTAGTTGACTGAATCCATATTTGAGGCCTCAAAGAAAAATAGTTGGTAGTGTAAGAAAGATTTTTCTAGAAAGAAATCTCAGATAATAGTGTTCACCAAGATAGTTTCAAATTAGTTTAATGTAATCTGTGATATTAATAGGTCAAAAAAATCATGTGCTCATCCATACGAATGCTGAAGAGGAGCTTAAAGATTCCTTCTTGAGATTACAAAACCCGCTGAAAAACCAAAGCAGATGGCTACTCACTACTAGAAAGCATATCTACCAATCAACAATGCCGCCTAAGCTCGGGAGGAAAACAGAAAAGGTACATTTCTATTGATGGCAGAGATGGGTGAGAAAGCTGTTGGTTCCCATGGGTATTTACACTTGGAAGCTAATGACTAAGGCAGTCATTCAGACAGAGAGACCATGGATCTGAAACCTGGAATGGAGGCAGATGGATAGCATGAGTGCTGGCTGAAGATATTATTTGCCTAGACAATCCCAGTGGGTGTTACCCTCAGGGTTTACAGTTCTTGGGTGTTTGGAGATGGTGCCAGAGGAATGAAAATATTCCAGAATATTCTAAAAAACATTATTCACATTCTCTCCTTACTTCAAATGTTCAAATATGCACTGATGTAAATAGTGGAGAAGCCGGAAACTCAGTCTAAACCTCAGGCTGCCTGATGTTTCATGTAAAACAACAAAGAAACACCGAAGAATAAATACAAAGAGAAATTCCAAGAAGACCAATAGACAAATGCTTAAAAAAAAAAAAAAACAACTCAAAGATTCATTAGGGTTGTAGGGTGCCAAGTTAATATATAAAAACTAATAGTTTTCCCATATTCACATGATAGTTAGAAGACATAATGAAAGGGAAAATCTATCTACAACAGAAACAAACAAAAAATGAACCAGGTTTTGTAGCACACTCCTTTAACTCCAGCAGGAGCAGGAGGCCAGAGGACCACAGGCTCTAGGCCAGACTGGGTTGCATGGTAAGAGCTGGGAGGTGGCTCAGTCAGAACTGTCTTTGTCTTGCAAGCCTGAAATCCTGGATGTGAGTCTAAAAACCACATTTGATTTTTCTTTATTTTTATCTGCATCTGTGTTTGCCTCATGTAAGTATCTGCACTGCATACATATCCAATGCTCATGGAGACCAAAAGATGATCCTCAATCCCTTGTGACTAGAGTAATTTACTGACAATTGTGAGTCCCCATGTGTGTTCTAGAAGCCAAACTGGGTCCTCTGGAAGAGCAGTCAATGCTCTTAACTTTTGTTGAAGTATCTCTCCAGGCCCAGAAGAAAGTAGAGGCCAGGAATAGTGGAGTTTACTCATAATCCCAGATCTGGGGACGGGGAGACAGGCAGATCCCTGAGGCCAAATGCCTGTCAGCTTCTCAAAACAAAATGAGAGAGAGATTGCAGATCAGCACCTGAAGCTGACCTCTAGC